ATTAAGAATCTGGAGTGGTCTTCCATTTTGAACTACATTCATGCCACTTGAATAGCATTACCAATAGAAATGTTCTGAGTTTTATTTTTTGAAGAAATCATTACGCTTCAGGCGAGTAAAGAAAAAATACAGTAAAATTAGATTTTAGGGATTCACTGAAATCCAAACTATTGACCTTAATTCATAAAAATATCAAATTCAATCACTGGAAAAGTAGTAGAACAAAAGGAACAGAACATTTTACCTTCAAATTCAATATAAGCAATACTTTATTACAATTCATTTAAAAGAAGGCTGCTAATAAGCAGAATCCTCAAAGTTCTTGACTTATTTGACAAGCCTAGGAATTCACCTGATATCTATTCATTTCTGGGACACAAACTGTACATATATTACCACATATTATTTTTCTACAATGTTAAGAATAAATAGGCTATATTAAGAAAGGGTCAAATAAAAAAATAAAGTCACTAAAAATTTAAAAACCAATAAAAATTTCTTCATCTCACTATTTTAGTCTATACTCAGTTCATTTAGAATATTCTTCTTTTTGACAATCAGTGGAATTCATTACATACTAAAAATAACACCGTATTTATGCACAAATAAATTAATTTTTCCAGTAAGTGCTAATCTTCCTTTAAGAAGATTTCCCACATATTCACAGTACTTAACATCACAGAATACCCAGATTTGGCCTAAATGTCTCTGAATTGTAGCATTACAAGACGGAAGTTCATTGTGCCTGATAATTTGATTGAGTTTTGCCCAAATGTCCTCCAGAGTTTGGTTGTTACAAATAGTGTGTTCTATTGTCCATCTTGCTCTATAAAGTGAATGCAAATTTAGTGCCTTTAAACTATCTTGCAACTTTTTAGACAAAGGAAAAACATTTTCTGTACCAGTACCGCTAGGAAGTGAAACACTCCAAGACCTCCGGTTGTGCTGTTTCCCTTTTTCTGATTGTTTATCCAGATTTCCAGAATCAGTGTGTTCATTCACTGTGTGTGACCAGATTAGGCGCTGCTTTTTCACACTAGGTTGAAACTCCAGTAGATCTACTGTGCAATCATAACTCTGTGATTTAACATCATGTTTTGAAATGGTTAAGCACTGTTTCACATCTTCAGCTGCCTCTCCAGAAATCACAGGTGGTGATTTGTTAGGTTTGAGTGGAAGCTTAGATCCATCATGTGGAAACCAAGGAATAAATCTTGATAGCGGACGAGTAGGAAAGTCCTGAATTGCCTTTTCTGCAATTTTTGGCAGTTGTGTGGGATCACTCTCAAATGGTCGATAATGTAATATTACTTCTGTAGTCATTCTGTAGTAGTCCAGTTACTCTTAATGAAGCAGAGATTCTTAGCTGAACTCCTCAGAGCTAGAATGTAATTTTATTATGACAAGACTGTCTCTCTTGACAAATCAGAGGAAACAGGACCTAAAGTGGAAGTATTGCAAAGAATAAGATATGGCAGGGACGGCCTACATATAAATAGGCAGGGATAAAAGGAAAAACAAAATACAAAAACCAATCCCAATATGATATTTTACCAAAGTGCTACTGGTAAATATGAATGTAATTTACAAACCTGAAAATCCTCCCTCTCACCAAAATAAGGGATTTGAATTAGATGCCCTATCACTTCCGGCATAAAAATCCTAGTAGTCAACATGTTTAATTCAACAGATATAAAGGAATTGGAAGTATAAATATATTACGTAATAACAATCCTAAGACTGTAGCAGAAACAAAGAGTAAATTACTGATTCTTAAAATACTGGAGTCATATGAAGATAATGAAAAATGTAATATTTAAAAATTTGAGACATCTGAATTGAGGACAACGA